TGTCCTCGCATCTGATAATCCTACATTTCCAGGGTTCCTAATCACGTTCACAAACCACCCCGAGACGATAGTAATGCTACGGTCCTCCTCTGAACCACTATCTTCCCAACAAGCACCTATAATCATGAACTATACAGAAATGTCTGATCTATGGACATCTGTCAACCACGATTCCTCCTGCACCGTCTTTTTTCTTCTCCTTTTTTCTTTTCCTTCCTTCTCTCTCCATTACTGTCTTCCCTCAAATGGTGAGTTAAAAGAAGCAATGGGAAAATGCCTCTGAACCCTTCTAGCAGGTGAGCCTCTGGTTGAACGATGCCCTTTAACCTCTAGAATGGCGTTTTCAGAAACTGCCGCCAGACATTGACGCCTAGTGCGTCTTGGGACGCAATTGCGTACATATTCACGATTACGGGACATTTCGCGAAAATTCCTTCCGAATATTTGAACTTCTCATAGCTACGTTTCCTCGGCACTTTGCGAGTTCTGTTTCTGCAATAGTGCCGATTTCTGGTCGTAATTTTGCACATTTTCATTTAATCTGACTGAGGCTTATTTCGTTCAAGTGCGGCCTCGAATGATTATGTTTTCGTCGCTTATATTATCGTGCAGTCTTGTCTGACACTACTTTCAGTAGCAGTACGTAATACTCATGACGCAGCTTTCTCGGTTATTTTGTGGTTTCCTAATTCGGTTCTGTTTCTCTGAATAGAGAATATTGCAGCTTCACTTTTTGTGGGCGAGCATGGCAAAGTGGGGTGAAGGTGATCCACGGTGGATCGTGGAAGAACGGGCCGACGCCACGAACGTCAACAATTGGCACTGGTAAGCGCTATACACTCAATCAAGTTCTATTTTACGAATTTCCAGGAAAGGTTTTTCCAACCCGCCATTTGAATTTCAAGCAGACTGCCTCAAAGTCAGCGTTCGCGATTGACTAACATGCAGAAGCCCTTCCAGGGCCCAGGTGGCGCGGTCCGTAACTGCAGTGGGCGTCGCAAACTGCTTTATTGTAGGCTTCATGCTCACGCTCATCTCCCGCCCATTCGGTGATCTCCCTCATCATCCCCCCCCATTCGGTGATCTCCACCCTCATCGTTCCACCACCCCTGTATAGCGTTGTTAATCTAGTTCGGGGCGTGTCGGGCAGCATGAATGTGCCACTGCGTCAAACCCGTTCTGTGCCAGAAGCGGATATGCGACAGCAGTTGGTAGAAAGCGAGTGTTATGAACGATATAATACTTGTTTTCACTTGCTGGCTTCAACAACTGGTGGAGAACGGGTTCGGCACCGCGCCAAACTCATTCCGCCTGACACTCCCCTTGGTCCGCAGCTAACTAGACTATATCTCCATCATATGTCTATTCTCCCTGGGTAGTAAACTGTAGTTTCCGACATTTTTTATTGCTCAGAGTATGAAGGGCTCTTTCGCTGTAGAGTTACTTTCGTAGAGGTATCTTTTTTGTTCTTTCGAATATAATCATACTCATCAGCCTCTGAATGATTCAAGGTCCGAGAAGAATGCCACGCCCTGGTCTAAAACTCGCCTTACTGATCTCCTAGAAGGTCTCACTATAGAGGTAAGTATGTCTTCTTTGGAAAAATCATCAGGCTTCAGTAGAAGTCACCCTTCAGGGCTCTCTTCTTCTGAATTCGGCCATATTCTGATCAGTGCTTTCTCAAGAGGTTTGTCAGGCGTCTGCGCGCGTGAGAATGGGTTTTCGTTCCCAGAGGTCAAACTATACCATAGGATACATTGTAAGCAAATTCCGTGCTTTGAGGTATACTCGAATTCCCTCAGATGAGGTAGGCGTGGCTGCGTACTTCAACCAAAGTTGACGGTGGCTGTGCCTTCAACCAAACGTGGCGGTGGCTCTGCTTCTGAAGAAATATTTTCTTTTTGAAACAATTGTGATCGTGTCTCTATCCAATACGAAACAATACTGCAGTTGCTCCAAGGTGGAATATCCCACGAGTAACCCATTTATGCCATGTTTACATGCCACGCCTACTCCATCCCTGGGTTAAAGAGTGCACATTGACGCTGGCCTAGACGATTCGAGCGTGCGACGTTTGGAGTTTGAACTTCCCAAGGGAGCAGCATCCTAGCCAATATGTGCCCTGGAGAAACACATCATTCAGAATCTGGCTCGAACTCCGGTGAATGGTACACTTAAGGGTACTTACTCTAGGCTCTCTAGTCTTTGAAATCATTTCCTCATCATTTTTGAGCTGTTGCATCAAAAAGCATTCGTTCAGGATGGTCCAGTTTGTGTAAAACTGGAATCAATGAAAACGCTTGAAGGGGAAGCCACTGCTAACAACCGGAAGGCGAAACTTATATTTTTGTATGAGTGGGAAATCAAAATCGGGTTCATTGGTAAGTGATTAGAGTTTGATAGTGCTGCTCATTTATCTCTAATGAAAGGAAGGAGGAGATCTTTCAAGCTGTTATTGTTTGATAACTGCTGTTTAACGCCGCAGTACGCGATACGAAAGCTAAGGAGATCTTTCAGGTCATAAAGCCCATTTGCGAAACTGTTTTTGCGCATTGTAGTGAGTTATGTGGGGACTAAAAAGGGTTTTTCGCTTTTGTTGCGCACCTCTGGGAATGCCAAGAACAGGCGAGAAAAGGTCCTACGAGTTCGTGACGAGCTCAGCATTAAGAAGCGCTTCCATTTCTTGGGAAAAAGGCTCAGGTATTTCTGAACACGTTCAGTCTTGGGAATTCGAACCATTAATCTGTTGTACGTTCTCTCTGCCTTCCCAGGAGCGCGCACTGAAAAATGAACGCATCTTGATGGAGCCTACATGTACCTCTACCGCATGCGGAAAACCGTTGCGAATATGATAATGGGCTCAGCGACCTGAAATTCTCCCCTTCCCCCCCCCTCATGAAGGGCATCTTGTTTATAAGCTTAAGTTTATCGAAGTCTTGTGTGAGATTACAGGACGTGTATCTGGTTCCGATACTGAATATAAAGGAACCTTGGAAATACCGAATCTCAGCGACGAAAATGATGCAAGCGAAGTTGATGTGAGTGCTCTCTCATTTTCAGTTGTTTTTCATCATTTCTACAATATGTTTTGCTTTTGTTTTACCATTTAGCATCTTGAAAGCCTTCTAGTTAAAACCGTTCGTGGGCGTCCTTCCTGGTTCAGGTAGTCTGGTCTCTAGGATTATCCCACTTTCGGTGTTATGACGCAAGCAGCGAAGACGTTGTGCCCCCCCCCATGAGTGGCAGTTGTGACGCCTCCCTAGTTTTCCCCCACACCGAAGCTTGAGGGCTATTTTCTGTCTCCCTAGTTTTCCCCCACACCGAAGCTTGAGGGCTATTTTCTGTCCACGAGTTCAATTTTTACATCGTGTTTTTCGCCTCTTTCCAGTACTACTAGTCAATTTAATAAATATTATCATGGGATTACGCGAAGAAACAATTAGTAAGCCAGATGTGCGTCAGGCAGGATATAGCTTTGCTGTCATAAAACGAGCAGGTTTTCACTAAGGCTGGCAGGGGGTCGTTCAGGGTGTTCACGACTTTTTTTTTCTTCCCAGGAGATTCACTTAGCGACTATAGGTTCAAAATTGAATGCCACTGTTCACAACATGCGATCGCGAGGTTTGTCTTTAAAATGCCAAGCTTTAAGATGCCATTACCATCTTGTTCACGAGTAAGCAGCTGATAAAATTATTGTTGTAAGCGGTAATATTTCGATGATTTGATGTGCTTCTCCTCTCTGGCGCTCATCGCAGAGGAATGACTTGTAAAAGGCACTTTTCGAAGACTTCATTGAAATATTCTGCACGCTGATGATTTCACTTCAAACATTTTTCTTTTCAGGTGAACGTATCCGTGGATACCAAAGGTCCTCACGAAGCAACAATCAGGGATTTGCTGCGGAAGGCTGGAACTGAAAAGATTCGGGTCACTTGAACTTTTTTTTCATAAAGGATATGTACATTTGTTGTTCTAACATGCTTTTTCATACTTATTTTCGAATTATATTTAGGCTGCTCTAGATGTGTACATACGTGAGCTTAAAGAGGAATTTAGCAAAGGTCTCATACTTCCGACGGATAAGGTCAAGCCTCAGGTGAGTGCTGAGCGATTCTTTTTGAGTATTATTGAAGATCTTTTACGAAAATGTTGACCTGCAGTGTAAAGATTTCTTGAATAAGAGATTTTTGTGAAATATTAAAATATTCGTGTACTTTGCTCGATTATCATTTCCAGGTTGTGACGAAAGGAAAAACTGCTGTCGTAGATAAGAAAAGTTTCCAAAATATGGTCAGTGTGAATAGCCTATACAGTTTTGATAACTACTAGGTTTTATTTTACTTGCATTCCAGGTCATCACGGATAGCAAAAATGACGCTCCGAAAAGAGGTATGTTTGTTGTTTTTTAGGTATCTATTTTCGCCCATTTTATTTTTTTATATTTGTGAATTTTATTTTGTTGCGAAACAAAACGATGATCTTTAAGTTGAGAAGTTTGACGTGAAATCTGTGGAGATAAGCGAGTCATTCAAAGTACCTCCAGATCGCCTTTTTGAAGTTCTTAGGGAACCTCACGTGAGTTTAATTCTGTTTACTTTATAAAATAAATCGTTGTGGGTTACACTTATTGGTATGCGCTGAGCAAAATATCGCTGAACGAAAAAAAAAATCATATTTTCTATTTATTATGGAGCTTCCTTATATGAAATTTTGCGCTGACGAGTACAGGGGGAGTGAAGGTGGCAGAGACACAGCTTAGTTGTCCTTTCAACCGCGTTAGTGCTTCTTTTGCATGTTCTCGACTGCTCCATCTTACTTGTCCAGGTACTAATGAATAAGCCCCCACTGTCAACGTAACTGTGCCTGTTCTCTAAGCCAGGCCGCGCAGACTGTGTCGCCTGCGTCTGGCAAGAGTTACAGTTGGCTAGGTGAAGGGCCCAGACACGTAACTGTGTGATGAGGGTAGGTGTGAGGTGATAAGGCGGAAGAGCTGATACCAGTAAGTAAGAACTAGTTCGACCACGCCCCTTCTTTGACCTACATGCACAAGCGCGGTTCAGCATGGGGTTCTCTGGAGTGACCAGGAATATTTTTCAGCTTTTGCTTCCGCCTTTGTGCTATTGGCCATCATTTCATTAGAGTTGAGCCGCACTAGTGACCATTTTTGAACGCGTGCGTGTCTTGAATGGTTCCTGCCCTATAAGCAATGGCAGACGCCGCCTTTAAGCGAGGTAATCAGGAAGAAGCAAAGGAAGAACGAGGAACGTTGCTGTGCTTGGTACCATGGGGGATGATTTCGCAATGAATTCGTGCGAAATCGGTACACACCCATTATATGGAGATCGAGTTGGGTAGGAATTGTTAGTGCAGGCGGTTGGTCGAGTTTCGTGTGGTAGTCAGCCTAACTGATTTGGCCAGTAGTGAACGTTTCGTGCACGATGCGGTGCGATGCGCCTCTTTCCATTCAAAACATTTTCCGTTGACAGCATTGCTCAATAAATCAGTTGATTTTATGTGGATTCCTCTCCTTTTTCTTGCTTGCCGGAGCCCATGTGATCATATTAGCATGTAATGCGAGGGGATGCTATCCTCTTTCCTCTCTGTTTGTACAGCAGACGTCTTACCTCCTTGCCATAAAAGAGTTCTGTGTCTCTCGAAGGCGTGTTCGTTCGCGCGTAGTGTTGGCTCAAAACAAAAAAATTTATTAGCTAGTTAAGTCGCCAGTGAGGGAAGAAGGAAAAGAACTATCGAGAACGCTCTTAATGTGACCCATCACTTACGAGCATTCAAGGCGGAATGAGTGCTCCTTTGAATGAGTTCCCACTTATTGATATCACACGGGATCAGCTGTTTTCCCCTACCACGTCATTTCCACCATCAGGATCTTTGTAATTTCCTCTCTTATCCTGTCTTATAGCAATTAATCGTTCAGCCTCGGCGACACATGAGCCACTGAGCCGGCTTGGGACTGGGATGTGCATCACTAATCTGAGCCGCGGAGTAGCGAAAACCCTTCGGTGAGACTGCTTAAACTTCGAGCACTGTACGAACACGCGATGACGTTGGGCGACTGTATATACGTAGGGGCGCTGACTGGCTTGGATGGGACATTTGTCGCTTTAGATCCTTTTGTTAGTTCACGTTGAGGGACAGGCCACACTTCGATCCTCGAGGCTGCAATATTCGACAGCCACAGTGGTCATAGTAATCCACAGGTTCTCACAAGATGGCCTGTACAAGCCTAGCTGAGTACCGTGCCCCCACCAGGCCGGAGTACGCCTGCATAGGCCCAATTATGAGTTCAGCTCTTTTTGCGCATTTTAGGGCCGCGAAAATTGCGCAACATCTGCTGCTGTGCGCCTGGTTACGTCACTCACAGAGAACTACTGCTACTAATCTCGAAATGTGTCTTGAGGGTGTGTTTCGAAATCTCCCTGATGAAAGGTCGTTTCAATTTTCGAACTCTTGACCTTATTTTGCGCTAAATTTGCGCTGAATGGAGTAGTTTTTCGTTGCCCAATGCTGCTTATTGACTGCTTCTTTTGGGAAAGGTTCGAGCGGTCATGGGGGAAGTGAATACATTGAAACCTGGCGTGCTGTTCGGCTTGGAGGGGGGCTTTAGCTTTTCCGCTTTTTCCCCATCGTCATGTTGATTACTTCACAAGAGTTGACAGGTCATCCCTACAAACTTTGACTGGTGTCATTTTATGGCCTTCACAACAAATCACAGCTCTGCTTGATAGCTCGACATGGTGATGGGAAGTAGTGAAAGTGCAAAAAGCCCCCCCCCCCCCCAAGGATCCGAACTGCGCCAAAGCTGGTTTCCAAATTTTGTTGCAGCCTCACCTCTCAGGGAGGATTAATGTTGTCTTTTTTTGAATATGGCATTTCAGTTGGTTCGGATTTGGGCGAATGGTAATGTGGAATGGGATTTCAAACAAGGTGGAAAGTTCGTTCTCTTTGGTGGGACCGTCACTGGAACATTCGGAGAAATTGTAAGTGCAATTGTACTCTTTTCTTAATAGGTTTGAGAAAAACCTATCATACCCAAATGTTGCCTTTTGCAGAAGGACAATGAAGAGATCAATATGTCGTGGAGGTTGAAATCGTATCCGAATGACCATCATGCCAAGATTAAATTCACGTTGAAGGATGAGGTAAGAGTTGAGTCATCTAGTCAATCAGTGTGAAAATTTCTTCTAGGCAACGCACGTTATCCTTATGGAATACTTATTATAGGGGGGGGGGTGGGCAAGAGGATCGTATTTAAACGCGGAAAAGGGTGGGGGGAAAACACGGGCTTTTCCAAATGCCGCTGGTGAGCATTAGTTAGGGCCTATAACACAGAAATTCTGACATTCGGCATTGCCCGTGAATCAGCAAGTATTCCTGGGTAGTAAATAAGTTCCAGGCTACGTTCTGTAGCATTTATTTCCCTGGCGCACTTCCAAAAAATCCGGAACGGATAGATTATTGTTTTTGGTTTAGTTCCGATTATATAGTCTTGTTCGCTGCCGATGATGGGGCGTGTTCGCGCGTTCAGCCCGTTCTCTTCCAGTTTTTGAAGCGGGTAATCGATAGGAACCAGTTGCAAACAATATGATACAGTCGTTAAGCTTGCCGAAAGGAACAATGAGCAGGTGCTGCACCATCCCCCATTTACGTCCCTTCATCCGCAGAGAATAATGCTGTATCGAGTGAACTAGTTAATAATACGTGGACTGCGCATGATGCCACGCCTCGAGTATCACCTGATTCTGGCTACAAGGCTCATTATCTGATTACAGAGTGACTCCACATCGTTAACTGTGAATGCCGAAGGAGTGCCATCACATATGGCCGAAGAGACTCGCAATGGACTAACTCGTTATTACCTTCAATCCATCGCCCGTGCATTTGGCTTCAGTGCACGCATAAATTAGACGGCAGGTCATCTGGGTGAAGTCGCAAGGGATATCGAATATCTGAGCGTTTCTCGATAGTTGTTGCAGATGTTGTTCATATAATGTGAGAATTTAATTGTACTTGTCTAGTTTCCCACCTGTTTTGAAGTGGCATTTGTGTTCTTTTCGGATTGTCCACCCCAAATTCTGTCTCAAGGTGGTGAAACACTATCTCGTAAAATGTTGTGTAGTCAGAGCTGCGTGACAAAACTTGGTTTTCCAACATTCTCGTTTGTGAGTCCGCATATTATTTTACAAGAAAATGAATGCCATGTGAAACAATTTTAATAATTTTGTTGTATGCGGTTTATGTCATCAGAACTTCATGTTTTTGTGTGATAAATTGTTGTCGGAATTCCTGAGTCATTCAGCGTGAAATAATAATAGCACTAGTTCGCTTTAGTGTCCATATCTCGCTGTTGTAGGGGGGAGGGGGGTGTCAGCGGACTTGTGAGCATGGCGCTAGTGAAAAGCAGGGCACATCGTTGTTGAGGATTGGTCGCTGGGAAAGGGAGGGTTGTATTTTGGCTGAGAAAAATTTTTGCTTCTTGATTTTTCTTGTTTCAGGGACGGTGTAAAGGGGAGGTCGTATTTGTTCGTTGTTGGCAGGGGGATCGTGTTTACCTTATGACCCAGAAGATTCCTGGCTTTCTGACTTTTCGTGATTCGTGGATTTTTTTCTGTTTCATGTGTACTATGCTCCCAGCCCCCCCCCTGCGCTCGATA